AGTGCCCACTAGTGACAAATATGCAAATAATTCAAGTTGATGTAATTTAGCATTAACCATACTAATTTAATCATTCCAAATCAAATTTAAATTAAATCTACCATAAAATCACATAAATTATAACTAGAATAAAACACTAATCAATTCTGATTCGGTCGTCAATAAGACTTTCAATTTGCAGTTTGAAATTAAAACATGAACAGATTCATTCAGAAATCAAACAGATAGAAATGCATTCAAAACAATACACTCATACAATCGATTCAGGATATTATTCTTATCAGGTACTTATCATGCTCAGTCACAGTTTAACATTAATCAGAGGTGAGGGTTGTCACAATGTAACTTGCCCAAAGTTTTTTTGTGTCACATTAGAGTGTTATAATAAGAATTTTTTTTGTGTGATACATTAGAGCGTTATACAAAGGAGTTTTTTTGGAATGTTATATTGGAGTGTTACATTTGGAAAAAGTACAGTAATGAGTTTTTTTATGTGTTACATTAGGGTATTACACTAAGATTTTTTTTTTAAAGTTACATTTGAGTATTATATTGGAGTATTACAGTTTAAAATTATACATTTGGCCAAAACTTACCAAGTAATTTTTGTACTCCTTTTAAAAAATCTCACATTCTTTTAGAATGTTTGAATAATCCCATATTTTAAGTTATTTTTGTATTCATTTTGAAATGTTTTCCAAATTTAAAAAAAAAAATTATATAAAAATTCATCCCAAATTTGATTCTCATATATTGTGTACCTACTTTTTTAGCTCAAAAGAAAAAAAGAGAATGAATATAATAGAAATAAGGATAGTACTGTAAATCTAATTTTTAAATAATATATTAAATCTATCTTTTCAAAATCAATGAGACTAATTAGTCCATAAAAAAAACCTTAAGAATAAATGGATCATCATTCCTTAAGATGGGATATATAGGTAAATTTTCTAAATAATTTAGAATATCATATTTTGGAATTTATTGATATTTCATCCTATTAAATATTTTGACACATTTAAATAAATAAATAGATCCTTTATCGATTGTTTTGGCAAAATAATATCTGTTAGAATTAGAATATAGTGCTTTGATGCCCCCTTTCAAGCAACAAACATAAGATATGAATTTAATAGAAAATCTAGGAGGTGGATTGATGTAATATCCAAGTCCAAAAGTGGATTGAGAGAATGTCCTTCAAACTATACCTTTGATTATTAGACAATTTGTGCTTATTTATTCGTTGTGGATTGGATTGGATTGGATTGGATTGGATGTGTCATATTATTATACATCTATCTCACATGAAAAGAGTTAATTATATTTTTTTATCTATATAGTTTGATTTAAATTTTAATTTAGTTTCTATATAGTTTTAAATTTAATAATTTGACGCATACATTTTAAATCCAGCTTCAATTTAATCTTTCTGTTCGAATTTGAGATTAAAATTATCAATTTTCAAATACTTGTCAATTTTTTAAGGTGAGACATAAAAAAAGTTAACAAAAATTTGGATGAAATGAGCAAATTAAAAACTAAACTTGAAATATAGGAACCAAATTATTTAATTTAAAATTACAAAAATTTAAATAAAATCATAGAGTGAAAAGTTTTTAGGAAAGGATGCTTTTTGTATCAAGAAAAAAGAAAAAAGAAAGGATGCTTGTAAAATATGACAAAAGCAGTACAAGAGTACATTTGTTTACTTGGACAGTATCTATGTATATGCTTATTCCATTCCATTCTATTACTCCAAACTGAATTCAATTACACCCAAACTTTATCAAAAGAATCCAAAATATCCAAGTGCAAAAGATAAATAAAAAACAAAGAAAGAAACAAGAATAATTGATATTAATGATTTGATTGTGTTCTTCATATTTGCTATACATTGGGCCAACTACTATGATTCAATTCAACCCAAATCATACTTCTTTCCTTTTTTTTTTTTTAACTTTCAGAAAATAGTTTGATTGTGGTTTTGTTTTATGTTTTTATTTTTTCAAAAATAGCAAAAACTTTTTTGACAAACTGTTTTCCAAATTTCTTTTTTGGAATTTTGTTTTCTGAAATCAACCCAATTTTTAAAAAATACCAAAAAGTTGTTTTCATAATTTTCAAAAAGCATTTTTGCCCAAAGATGAAAGAAATTTAAAAAATGATTGTTGTTTTTTAACTTTTCAATATTTTTGTTTGAAAATATGAAAAATAAAAACAAGAAACGACAATGTTTTTTTTTTTTTTTTTTTACAGGAAAATCCTCACACTCTCCCGCAGGTCCAAGGCAGCGCCCCTAGAGGAGATCACCAGGGTGTCCTGTTGTCCGTTCCGAGTAAGAGACTATAACCTGGAAGCTTGTTCCGACCTCCTAAGACAAGTTCCGCTTAAGTCAGGACTCGCACAGCTGGAGAAAATTAAACCCACACCAAGAAACTGATAAGGTATCTTTGAGGTCAACCTCCTAACCAACTGTGCTACGTCCAGGAGATTGGCCCAAAGGGGAGTTGAGCCCACGACCTAGTGGCTTAAACCCTAGGCCCTTACCAAATTGCCACTCACCCCTGGGTTAAAATGACAATGTTACCTACCGTAAAACTCATTACATGGTAGAAGTTAGAAACCACACCTTAAATGTAATCATCACAAGCTCACCAACTACCACAAATTGCACTTTACACACTCTCAGTTTGATTTCAACAAGTACCGAGATATTTTTCTATTTTTAAAATAACACTTGTACCCATGTTTTTATTAACAGTCTTACGTTTAGATTTTTGACAATTATTGAAATATATTCCTTCATTTTTAAAATATTACCTTCTTTTATTTTTTTTTTCTCTTCTTGTCTCTTTTAGATAGGGGATATGACAATCATCAAGATATCCCTCCTACAAGAATACATAATATTATTGTGTGAAATCTAGGAGGCGAAAAAAATCAATGAAATACATTTGATAACACATACATACCAACCCTCATTTAAAAATCTTTTTGTTAGTCACAACACAACGTGTAATCAGTAAGGCTTCACCCACACACGTACAGCATGTAATCCTTATTGTAAACCTAAATTCCTATAGAAAATAACTCAATATATTTGGTAAGAATAGTAGTGAGTTGCAAGTAACTCACCCAGTTTTCCCACTCACTTGGCCCAAAAAGTTGGGCAAAAAAAAAAAAAGTGACCTTTGGAAAATGCTCAGATTGTAAGAGTGTGATTGGTTTAAGGATTTGAGTATATAGATTAGTGGAGGGAAAGGAAGTAGGAAAGAAAAAATAAATGAAATACAAGCTAAATTTTATTCACTTTCTCTTTTTTAGGTACAACGAAAAGTATTCACTTTCTCTTCTTTTTGTCTTTTTTCCTTCACAAACCCATTCTCAATTCCTTAATTCAAACGCAGCCTAAAAATGAATAAGATTCTCTTCAATTATTTTTCATGGCAAAGAACACTAAAAAAGGTATGTGAATATGTGGGCATTTGGAATGCTCACATGTAATTCTGTTATCAATAAAAGAGCTCATGTTTAATGTCATGGGTGAGATCACATTATCTACTGCATTTTGTTTATCATATAATCTTCATCAATAAGTCAAGTCTCGTCGCAAAGAGAAATGCCATTGTTCCTAGTGAATATTCTCCTTGATGGGGAATCTGAATTAATTCCTCCTCATCTCTCCAACATTCAAGTAAAAAAGGCCTTCAAAGGGAGGGACAACATGCCAAAATGACATGTTTTGTATTCAATGACACACTTCAATCACTAGACATTGCCACTTCTTGACTACAAGAATAAGAAAAAGAAGAAGATTGCCCACATACCTCTCGTTTTTTCTTTTTCTTTTTCTTTTTCTTTTTTTCCGAAAACAATTTGGAGTAATTCTACCATCCCAAAAATATCATTCAAAAAAATTCACATCAGACAGTGAATCCCACTAACTATTAAAATAAATAAATAAAACACAAACAAAGTGTGTGTAAAGAAAATAAAAACAGATAAAGATGTGCCCACCATCTACCATGAACTGCCAAAGTGTTTTCTGAGAGCTTTTTTCTGGAATACAAAAGTTCTTATACAATCTGTTCTCCTCTCCCATATTGACTACAAGTTGTCCGAGGGGCGAGTTAAAAAATTTAGAAGCTCAAGTTTAATGCATACCAACTCAAGTTACTATTATATACTGTACATTCATTAAAAATGATCATATATTAGCTGACTGACAAGTTACTAAACAATTACGCAACCAATTTAACATCATAGGTGTTTTATTTACCCCACCCTCCCCTCCATTAAGCTTGTTTTGAGGATATCAATCATTGTAGAGTCACAAGGTTGAAGCTCTCCCCATTGTCCTCATGTATGATGCTGGCACTACTAACCTCACCAAACTCAGCAATCAAAATTTTAAATTAAATTAAATGAAATATCAAAGAATAAACAATCTTTTGGTCCCCTTGCATGCCACTACCCAAGATGGACGATTCCTCAGCCTTTATTTTCCTTTCCGTACGGTTTTGTAGTTGGTATAATCTCCAAACCCTATCTTTAAGGGGAGCAAATTGATTTGTTTCAATGAAGATAAGTGATTCCTTTGAATATGCTTAAGGAGATACTTTTATATATATGCCAAAAGTAATTTTAAATGTGTCCTTCCTCAAGAGGTCTGATTGGATAATTTGCAAAAAGATATATACATATATCCTTAAGGAATCTAACACCAATTCGATTTAGCTATGATTGAAGTGGAAATAAGGATTATCTTTATTCCCTGTCCCAGCCGAACAATCTATTAGGCCAGTGGGTTAAACATGCTTGACTATGGATTAATAGAGGATGTACTGGTCCAAATCAGGGAAATGTAAACACCCCTAAATCCAATCTATATTAATAAGGGTTGGCCTTCCGAGATTAATATATAATAATTAAGAAACAAATTAGCCAGAGGCTCCCTAAGCCAGATACTCACAAACAAACAACGTGGAATGCAGTCACCATAATGAATATTTAATGCATTCAAGTTTTGCAAACATAGTGTACATATTGACAAGTAACAAACATAATCCAATAGTTAACTAATAATGTAACTAATGAACGACTGCATAAAGTAGAGTAAACAATTTCTTCCGGAAAACACTAAAGCAATGTAACAATGTTTAATCAATAATGAACTGACCTCAGAAAGTACGTGGACAGTGTCATCAATAAACAGATTACACCAAAAAAATCTTGCTCCAAACTCTAAAGACTTTGTAACAATACAGAGGCCTTGCCTTGTAAAACCTTCCATGCTGCATTTACATGCCTTTCTTCTGTCAATGGAGCTCCTACTGCAAAGCGTAATGTGTACTTACCTGATAGAACCTGCATAAATTTGTCATAACCAAAAAACACAATTCAGGAACTACAAACAGCATGTGAAGGTTTCATTCTTCGTGTTTATCAAAGAAAAGTGAATACAACATGAAAAATGAGCATACTGTATGAGAAATGAATAATTTCCCGGTTGAGTTAACAGCATCCAGTAGGTCATGGTTTAGTTTGTTAGCACAGTCTTCGTTGTTATGGGGAGGCAGAAGGCAAAAACAAACCAATGAAAACTTCCGAGGAGCAACAACCTGCACAAGTCAATTGTAGTTGCTAAGCCATGACAACTATTGCATAAAAAAGATGCAAAAGTCATCTATTACAAATTGTATAATTTTCGATATTAGAGAAGGTAATTTTATTTTTCACTGAATTAGAGCATTCGAGGTGAAGATTGCATTGAGGAAGATGAAAAGAGAAGGGTTCTAGGGCTAGATGATATCTCTATTAAGGCTTGGAAGTGTCACGGAGATATAGATTTCTCTTAATTAACAAAATTATTTAATAGGATTATAGTAACTAAAAAAGTGCTGATGAGTGACAAATAGTAATTTCGAACCTATACATAAAAATAAGAGACATATTCAAAGTTGTACAAATCATAGCGGCATAAAAATAAGAGATATAATGACACAAATTTCTAACATGTTACCTGAAATCTCGGGTCTTGAGAAACAAGCTCTTCAAAGTGTTTAGCCAATTCAATATGGTTTCTTATGTAAGATTGAAGGTTTTCCAAACCATAGAGTCGTAATACCATCCATAATTTCAGTGATCTGTGAAGCAACAGTGGATTAGACAAGTCAATAACTACAATTTTGCAGCAGGGTCACTAGATGTAAAACAGATTTGATGTAAAATTGATGATATTACTAATCTAGTCACATCTGTAATGTAAAAGATAACAGCAGAAGTTTGGATGCCACCTGAAATATTTGGAAATGGTTAAGAGTTCAGTCATGAGCTGTCCATGGAATTAGCTAAGGCTTCAAAACTGTTAAAGTTGCACCATTGACTTTTGCTTGGCTCATGAGGCATACACTCGGTTAGAATACAGCTTAAAATTTTGTTGTGAGGTGTCTTATATTTTTACTGTACACTTAGGTTTCCAGTAAAGGGCCTTTTACTCTTGGCTTTACCCCGGGATCATTTGTTGGAGGTATTTATTGTATTTTTTCGGGTAGCATTTCTGTGTGGGTGTTACAATTGAGAATTTCTGAGTTTGTAATCCAATCCTTATTATGCATAGAGAATTTGATCTGCCTCTCCTCCATGGACGTAGGCACATTGTCAAACCACGTATTTAGTGTTCTATGTGTTTGATTTTTGTTTTTTGTTTTTTGTTTTTTGTTTTTTGTTTTTTTACTGTTGTGAGGATTGGAACCATTAGGTGTTTTACAACTGTCATCTTCAAGCAAGCATTCAAAACCTGCACTTTGGTAGACTACATAAAATGGTATTTCATTCTTTCTCAAACCATTTACTTCCAAGTCTTTAATAAGACATTACCTAATCTCTTCATTTCTGGAACTGCACTTACAATAGATTGTTTCAACTCAAAATGACTGAATAATGTATATTAAGTCTTTAGTATTAGTGAAAAGTTTGTTAGTTGAGTTTAAGACACTTTTTGGCAATGTCTGACAGCACACCTGAATCTGCGGCCGAGAGGGATTTGCCAATCTTTGTAATCCACAACCATGTTTGCTTCAGAAGCCTGGTCCACTAAACCTAACCCACTACACCACTACCATCTCACCTACTCCACTAAACCTAACCCACTACACCACTACCATCTCACCTACTCCACTAAACCTAACCCACTACACCACTACCATCTCACCTACTCCACTAAACCTAACCCACTACACCACTACCATCTCACCTACTCCACTAAACCTAACCCACTACACCACTACCATCTCACCTACTCCACTAAACCTAACCCACTACACCACTACCATCTCACCTACTCCACTAAACCTAACCCACTACACCACTACCATCTCACCTACTCCACTAAACCTAACCCACTACACCACTACCATCTCACCTACTCCACTAAACCTAACCCACTACACCACTACCATCTCACCTACTCCACTAAACCTAACCCACTACACCACTACCATCTCACCTACTCCACTAAACCTAACCCACTACACCACTACCATCTCACCTACTCCACTAAACCTAACCCACTACACCACTACCATCTCACCTACTCCACTAAACCTAACCCACTACACCACTACCATCTCACCTACTCCACTAAACCTAACCCACTACACCACTACCATCTCACCTACTCCACTAAACCTAACCCACTACACCACTACCATCTCACCTACTCCACTAAACCTAACCCACTACACCACTACCATCTCACCTACTCCACTAAACCTAACCCACTACACCACTACCATCTCACCTACTCCACTAAACCTAACCCACTACACCACTACCATCTCACCTACTCCACTAAACCTAACCCACTACACCACTACCATCTCACCTACTCCACTAAACCTAACCCACTACACCACTACCATCTCACCTACTCCACTAAACCTAACCCACTACACCACTACCATCTCACCTACTCCACTAAACCTAACCCACTACACCACTACCATCTCACCTACTCCACTAAACCTAACCCACTACACCACTACCATCTCACCTACTCCACTAAACCTAACCCACTACACCACTACCATCTCACCTACTCCACTAAACCTAACCCACTACACCACTACCATCTCACCTACTCCACTAAACCTAACCCACTACACCACTACCATCTCACCTACTCCACTAAACCTAACCCACTACACCACTACCATCTCACCTACTCCACTAAACCTAACCCACTACACCACTACCATCTCACCTACTCCACTAAACCTAACCCACTACACCACTACCATCTCACCTACTCCACTAAACCTAACCCACTACACCACTACCATCTCACCTACTCCACTAAACCTAACCCACTACACCACTACCATCTCACCTACTCCACTAAACCTAACCCACTACACCACTACCATCTCACCTACTCCACTAAACCTAACCCACTACACCACTACCATCTCACCTACTCCACTAAACCTAACCCACTACACCACTACCATCTCACCTACTCCACTAAACCTAACCCACTACACCACTACCATCTCACCTACTCCACTAAACCTAACCCACTACACCACTACCATCTCACCTACTCCACTAAACCTAACCCACTACACCACTACCATCTCACCTACTCCACTAAACCTAACCCACTACACCACTACCATCTCACCTACTCCACTAAACCTAACCCACTACACCACTACCATCTCACCTACTCCACTAAACCTAACCCACTACACCACTACCATCTCACCTACTCCACTAAACCTAACCCACTACACCACTACCATCTCACCTACTCCACTAAACCTAACCCACTACACCACTACCATCTCACCTACTCCACTAAACCTAACCCACTACACCACTACCATCTCACCTACTCCACTAAACCTAACCCACTACACCACTACCATCTCACCTACTCCACTAAACCTAACCCACTACACCACTACCATCTCACCTACTCCACTAAACCTAACCCACTACACCACTACCATCTCACCTACTCCACTAAACCTAACCCACTACACCACTACCATCTCACCTACTCCACTAAACCTAACCCACTACACCACTACCATCTCACCTACTCCACTAAACCTAACCCACTACACCACTACCATCTCACCTACTCCACTAAACCTAACCCACTACACCACTACCATCTCACCTACTCCACTAAACCTAACCCACTACACCACTACCATCTCACCTACTCCACTAAACCTAACCCACTACACCACTACCATCTCACCTACTCCACTAAACCTAACCCACTACACCACTACCATCTCACCTACTCCACTAAACCTAACCCACTACACCACTACCATCTCACCTACTCCACTAAACCTAACCCACTACACCACTACCATCTCACCTACTCCACTAAACCTAACCCACTACACCACTACCATCTCACCTACTCCACTAAACCTAACCCACTACACCACTACCATCTCACCTACTCCACTAAACCTAACCCACTACACCACTACCATCTCACCTACTCCACTAAACCTAACCCACTACACCACTACCATCTCACCTACTCCACTAAACCTAACCCACTACACCACTACCATCTCACCTACTCCACTAAACCTAACCCACTACACCACTACCATCTCACCTACTCCACTAAACCTAACCCACTACACCACTACCATCTCACCTACTCCACTAAACCTAACCCACTACACCACTACCATCTCACCTACTCCACTAAACCTAACCCACTACACCACTACCATCTCACCTACTCCACTAAACCTAACCCACTACACCACTACCATCTCACCTACTCCACTAAACCTAACCCACTACACCACTACCATCTCACCTACTCCACTAAACCTAACCCACTACACCACTACCATCTCACCTACTCCACTAAACCTAACCCACTACACCACTACCATCTCACCTACTCCACTAAACCTAACCCACTACACCACTACCATCTCACCTACTCCACTAAACCTAACCCACTACACCACTACCATCTCACCTACTCCACTAAACCTAACCCACTACACCACTACCATCTCACCTACTCCACTAAACCTAACCCACTACACCACTACCATCTCACCTACTCCACTAAACCTAACCCACTACACCACTACCATCTCACCTACTCCACTAAACCTAACCCACTACACCACTACCATCTCACCTACTCCACTAAACCTAACCCACTACACCACTACCATCTCACCTACTCCACTAAACCTAACCCACTACACCACTACCATCTCACCTACTCCACTAAACCTAACCCACTACACCACTACCATCTCACCTACTCCACTAAACCTAACCCACTACACCACTACCATCTCACCTACTCCACTAAACCTAACCCACTACACCACTACCATCTCACCTACTCCACTAAACCTAACCCACTACACCACTACCACCTCACCTAACCCACTACACCACTACCACCTCCACTTCACCTACTCCTTACCTACTACACACTCACCCTCTTCTATATATAGGAATCATGAATCATTGTAATAGATATCAATATATCAATCAATAATAATACATACAATTTATTCTCTCTCTTTCTCTATACATTATTTCTTACATGTGGCACATCTTGAAAAAACTTCTTCCCTACATCCATGCTATGTCAAAAAGCTTGAGACCAGTAGAGGCACCACTACACTAGCTATTGAAGTTTTTAACTGCATGTCAAGAAGTCTATATCCATGTTTAAAAGAAAACCTTTTTTCCTGTTATAAAGCTTTCACCACAAATAACCTATGGGCTATGAGAAACATACTGAGCTAGTGTGGAAGGGGCCTTACTTTGTTTTTTAGGTACTCTGGGTTTGTTGAGAGTGACTGAATCAGAGCATTCCTGTCCTGCAGACAAGATGGTAACATGAGAATAGAATGGTTAAATATTGACAAGAAGAATGAAGAAACTGAACCATGACATATCCGTCTAGGTTTAGCTTCCTCACAGTTAGCATAAGAGTTAGAAACTAGTTATTTTGCTAACAATAGTAATGAAATCAGACACACTACTTATGTTTCATAGGATTGTTGGATAGTGAAGATGTCTCATGTGAATGGATATGGATAACATAGAATATAGCTAAACACTAGTGCATCCAGCATTATCTCTATCGATAACCTACGTCACTGACTCCGCTCTACTTCAAGCACAACTATATTAACTCCTAATCAACTAGAGAAGATTAAAAAGGCCACGGCCAATATCCCCCAGTAATAGAATAACAAGAAACTTGAAGCATTTTGGATGATCAAAGTTGAAAACATATAACTATTACTTTGGAAAAACTATGGAGGACTTTTGACGACTCAATGGAAATAAGGCCAGCTTAGTTGTTTCTAATTTTTTATTTAGGGTATGAAGGCATGACGGTAACATGTAGACATGCATCAAGTGCATAATGGCATACCTTTACCCAGAGAGCTGAACAATCAAAGTTTGTTAGAAACCATTTATGTGCATTCATATTATATGAGTCAGCTTCTTCAATGCCATCAATATAGTGCCGATATTCTGGACATATACAAGCACTTCCAGCGTATGCAGCATCCACATGAAACCACATTCCATTACTCTGCATTAATAAGAGAATGTTCATCTTCATTATGCATTAGTACACAGCATACAGATGAATTCAACACATCGCAACGAAAGAAGATCATTAGAGGGAGGCATCGTGAACTACCAAACTTATTCCTGTTTTACAATGCCATTTAGATCTTTACCACGCCCTTATTAGGTTTTTACTAGCTTCTTTTGGATCTAATATGTTGTTGGCCCTAAAATCAAAGTTGATGTGGAAGAGATCCCTTGATGCAGAAGTACTTAGTAGAAGAAAAAATTCTAAAGCACATAATGCCAAGCTTGTTTTGTTGCGAGTCTTTGTTTTATTCTTGATTAGAATTAGTTAGTCCCTATAGAAGTTTGAGACTGAGCTGGAAATTATTATTTTTACTCTGGTTTCCTTATAGGTTTATTTATAATTTCAATAATTTTATTCCAAGTTGATTAGGAGTCTTTTCTTGGGAAGAAATTCAGCCAATTACTTGTCTAGAAATTACAATTTTTTAGAATTTTTAGCCTTTTGTGGTTTCTATGTCAAAAAATTTAGAAAGTTACCTTGTGTCTAGAGACTTTTTAGTCTTTTCTAGTGTGTGTATAAAGGGCCCCTTCTTGTATTACAAATTTAGAGTCAGAATGAACATTTTTCCTTTGTTAAAGATGACTCTTATTTTGACTTTAGTGTGGATCTAAGCAGACCTCGTGGAGTTAGGTACTTCTCTATTCTTCTCTTTTACTATTTGCAGAATTTTTGTTCATTCAAATCTGTTTAACAAGAAACAATACCATGATCATCATAATCTGAAATCTCTTGTAATCATTTATTTCAAATCCAAACCCAGTTTCCCTAGTTTTAACCTATTAGCCCCACCACATTTCCAGCCAACACAACCCTTGAATACAAAAACTCTAGGTTGTCCTACTTCATCCCTTCATGTATTTTTATAGAATTTTCATGTTTGTGCATGTGATTCCGATTTCAGTTGCTCAGCGGTTGGAGCAGTTGCAGAAGGACTTCCTTTGGGAGGTGTGGGCGATATTTGATTGACCGGAATTTGATTTGTAGTCCGAAAGAGGTAGGGGTTGGGCATAAGAAGTGTGGTTCCGTTCAATAAGACTTTATTCGGTAAGTGGCTTTGGAGGTTTGCGTGGAAAATAGAGAGGTTTTGGCGTAGGGTGGTGGTGGCAAAGTATGGGGTTGGGTGGGGGAGTGGAGTTCTAAGGTAGTGGAGGGTTCTCATGGTAGAGGCTTGTAGAAAGGCATTTGGATGTTGTAGGGGGAGTTATGGAGGTGGGTTGACTTTTGGGTAGGGAGGGGAGAAAATGAGTGGTTTTGGAAGGATAGGTGGTGCGGGGACCAAAATCTTGCTTCTTTATTCCCGATGAATTTTCGACTTGCGATGGATAGGGATGCGGTGGTGGCTACCTATTTAGTGATTGATGAGGGGCAGGTGGTTTGAAATGTAAGGCTCTGACGGCAAGTCTAGGATTAGGAGGTTGGATAGTTAGTGGATTTGATGGTTTTTCTGTATAGTGTTAGAGTGGGTTAGGAGGTTGGATAATTAGTGGATTTGACGGTTTTTCTGTATAGTGTTAGAGTGGTGGGTGAGAGGGGATGATTTGGTGTGGTGGCGGTAGGATGCTAAAAGTTTTTTTTGGTGTCATCTTTTTTTGAGCCTTAGTGGGAGGTGCAGATACTTCTTTTCCGTGGCAGAGTATTTGAATTGTTGGAACTCCTTCCAAGCTATGAAGCACCGACACGTCCCTAGGCCTCACGTACGAGTGTCGGACACGCGTCGGACACAGACACGCGTTGGACACGCAGTAGACACGTGTCCGACACTCTCTCTAACGTATCCCTTTTTTTTTTTGAAATTTTCCAGTCGGACACGCCGGGACACTCTCCAGACACGCGTGAGTGGATCGAAAAAGCCCTAACTGTTGCAGAGGAGACAGAGAAAGAGAGAAGGAGATCGATGGAGACAGAGAAAGAGAGAAACCCTAACTGTTGCAGAGGAGACCGAGAAAGAGATCGAAGGAGACAGAGAGAGAGAAAGAGATTGAGGGAGGAAGAAACCTAACCTGTCAATCGAAGAAGCTGAACCTGTCAATCGAAGAACCTGAGGTGATATTCTTCATCTTCTCTCTTCTTCTTCTCCTTCTCCTTCTCTTCGTCTTCCTCCTCCTCCTTTTTCTCTTCATTTTCTTCCTCTTCTCCTCCCTTTCGTCTCTGCTTTTCTTCTCCTCCCTTTCGTCTTTGCTTTTCTGAGTCGCTCTCTCTCTCTCCTCTATTGTTTCTCTTTTTTATTTTTTTTCCCTTTATATTGATCCGGTTTCTCTCTCCCTCTCTTTTTTTTTCTTCTTTCTTTTTTTTATCCTTATTTTTTTTTGTTAAACATAAAATTCATAAAATAAATTATTTTTATTTAAAAAAAACTCATTTTTATTAAAAAAAATTTAAAAATTTATGTTTATTAATTTTATTATTATTATAATTGTATAAGAATTAATGATTTTTTTTTTTTTTAGACATATAATAAATAAATAAAATTATATTTATTAAACGTGTCCCCAGCGTGTCGTGTCTCCCATTTTTTAAAAAATTGCATGTCCGCGTGTCCGTGTTGTGTCCCGTGTCCGTGTCCGTGCTACATAGCTTCCAAGGTAGCATTCTTGGTGTGGATGACGACATTAAATAGGATTATCACAATTGATAATCTTATTTGGTGTCAACAAATTTTGGTTAATTGATGATGTATGTTTGTAGTGATGCATACCGCTTTTCATCTTCTTCTTCATTGCTCTGTGGCATATCAACTTTGGGTGTTGATGTTTTCTATGTTTGGTATGGTTTGGGTGCAACAAGGAAATGTCAACAGTGTTTTTCACAGCTGGAGAGGGGGTAGGGTTGGGAAGAGATGCAGGAAGGCATGGGCTGTTGTGCCTTTGTGTCTGATGTGGATGATTTGGCTGGAGTCGGTGGATTTTTCAGGGGGGTGGAGTAGCTTAATGATTTTGTATAGTTGGGTTTCAGGAAGTGTCTTTAGATTTTTTTTCTTTACTCTCCATGTTTAGGGGTAGTTATTTTCTATTGCTTCTTTTCCTTTGTATTTGTTAGCATCATCTTGATGCTTTTCAATTAATCATATTGACTTTCATTTATCAAAAAAAATATACTATGTATAGCTGCTTGTACATCTTCAAAAAATAATGAACGCATAAGCCTACTCTAACCATCACAAACAGGTCTCTTATTTCCATATTCTAGCAATTCAATCAATATGTCACCTTAGTAATCTTTCCCAACACAAGCAAAGGATCCACAGCTGTTGAAGAAGTAGTGCCAACCTGCAAGCACATAAGCAAGGCTTCTTTAGCTAACAAAAATTCTTTACCATTAAATCGAATTCAGTAATCAAGTAAATGATCCACAAATTATCACTAATTAATAATTTAATATGTATCCTACATCTCTGATTAAAGGATGAGTATTAGTCCAAACCAGATTTTCAGCTCATTAGATTTAGCATGCTCCCTATTCCACTACCACCATAAAAACAAAACCAAATTGCCTTACTTCTACAAGTCCTTAAAAGTCAACTCAAACAATTTCAAGTGCTCAACATAAAATATGACCCACCACCTCAATTACTTAGAAGAATACTCCTTGTCTTACAAGTCATCAGTTACTTAAAAAAGTATAAACTTAAGGGATCAATGTCTATCTTCCATTTGGCCTCACTTTGTACTCATCAACAACATTGCGTGACTCACAAATAATGTAAATTAAGGCCTGTTATCTTGAATACAAGAGAGCACTTCATTCACAAGTCACAACTCAAAGGTGATTTGAAAATATGCAGCCTAGAGGCTTAAAATGATACTCATTGCAAAAATTTTGGAAGAAGAAATATGCTTAACCCCAACTTCCTATTCCATAGTCCTGGCCATGTCTTGGTAATCTCAACAAATTTGCTTAGCATTTTGTACCTTTCAAACTTTACGAAAACCGCCAAACTATTTTACAACTTGGTCATTTGCTATCTCAGAATCAGCAACAATTGTAAACTCTATTGCCGTCTAACATCTATAGTTTTTCAGTAGAAGAACACAGCAAAAATTGTGATTCATCAATGACAGCAAACAATGCTTAGAAAGATGCACAAAAAGGAAATTAGTACAAACTAAGAAGACACGAGATACTGCTGCAAGTAACAGTTGACTTACAGTTCATTCACATTGGTATAGTTACAATCTGTTATAGTCACTTCATGTCAACAGATGGTACAACTTGAAACTACATATGCCGAAAATAATTGAATATAACCATTGGAGCCTGAAAACCTTTGATGTAATGTTGAATGGAGGCTTAAAAGGATTTCAACCTACAAATTTATTATTAGATAACTTACTTGACCTTTAAGGAAATTTTATTCAAGTCCATTAGTATAGCCTCAATAGACCACTTGTATCTTGAGGAAAATGATAGAGCAAGCAAATGAACCCGTGTACACGCATGTGCAGTTGTGCAATTCAATGTTCGAAGCAAGTGGTACTGATGCAATCCACAATAAGAGCAAGAAAAAGCAAAGTTAAAGAATGGCAACATTCGGAAATTGCCATGGTTTTAAGCTACTAGTGTTATCATATACTTATTTTGTAGTTATTTTATGTTTTTTTAGAGTTTTTAGCTCAGGAGCATTTTGGTAATTTTCATATTTGTTGTCATGAGTTGTAGAAGGCAGCCAGAGGCCGTCTTGTAGGTCAAGTTATTTAATTAATTTTTGTTTATGTTTCTTATTGTCTTGGATAAGTTTTGGAAGTCAAAAAGTATAGTTGTTTTCAATTTTAAAGTCCTACTTGGAAAAGAAAGTCTCTAAGTCTATATAAAGTCTTGTAATGCTTCTAATTCAATGGGGTTGATATTTTAAAGAATTTCAAGACCTTTGAAGTTTTCTTATAGATTATGTGATGCAATCAAATCCTAAGTGTGATGCTTAAGGGATTTTAGGAGTGATTTCTTTTTCTTTTTTTTTAATAAATAAATGAACTTTATTAGAAAAGTATCAAGATGATGTAAAGAATACAAAAACCACCCACAAAGGGCCAAACCAAACTATGTAAGTAAATCCTCCACAAAATCTACAAAAACCAAAACACTTGGATCAACTGAACCCGTAACCCAACTATGCAATACCAGCAACAACTGACTCTGTAGCCAGGAAATGAAATGGCATTCATTCTGAAAAACACGCCTATTACGCTCCAACCACACTAGCCAAAGCAAACAATGGGAAGCAAGAACCCAAGCCTTTCGATGCCGCTTCCCCACCCTAGCCCTACCCCAACCCTACCCCAACTTTGAACCACACCTAATACCGACCCCGATTGCACCCAAACCAACCCAAACAAAGCCACAATAGAATTCTAAAGTCGAGACGCAACTGGGCAATGTAAAAGCAAGTAATCCACCGTTTCCCCATCCCTACAGCACATGCAACACCAGTTTACCAGAACATGCCCCCGCCGACGCAAGTTATCTATAGTCAAAATCTTCCCCAAAGCAGCAGTCCAAACAAAGAAAGCCACCTTGGATGGTGAACTCGTCTCCCAAATGCTCTTCCAAGGAAACACTGCCCCACTCCCCCCCTTAAGCATACCATAAAAAGAAGACACTGAAAACACTCCTTTAAATCTCGAACAATCCCACACCAAAGAGTCTGCTCCATACCCCCCATCCTTGACACCATACAAAATGCCCAACAGGTCCACTAGTTTATCCAACTCCCAATCTTGCACAACACGATGAAGGTGAACATTCCAAACAAACAACTGCCCCTGTCTAACTCTAACAGACGCCACCAGCTCCTCACCATCCATAGCAATAGCATAAACCATAGGAAACCTCGCTACACCACTGATCCTGCCAAAAGCGAGTCTTATCCCCTACCCCCACCTTAATCCGAGTCCTATCCCAAAACTCCGTCCACCCTAGCCAAATCCCTTTCCACAACCCACGACCATGAGGGTGGACCACCCCCTTCGAGCATCACCCCCCTCTGGCCACCCCATACTTCACCACCACCACCCTCCTCCATAATCGCTCCCTCTCCACAGCAAAACGCGATAACCATTTCCCTAAAAGAGCCCGGTTAAAACCCACCAACCTCCTGACACCCAAGCCCCCCCTCTCCTTAGGAATACAAATCCTATCCCAAGTCACCAAATGATAATGAAAACCCTCCCCTCCACCACCCCATAAAAAATTTCGTTGCAACTTTTCCAACCGCCTAGCAACCACCACAGGAATCACATGCAACGACATAAAGTATGTCAAAATACTAGAAAGAACACTCTTGATCAATGTTAGCCGCCCTCCCTTAGACAAACACTGCTGCTTCCACCACGCCAACCTTCGCTGCACTCTATCTACCACCCCATTCCACACCCTTTTCGCCTTAAAGGTAGCCCCCAAAGGAAGTCCCAGATAGGAAATTGGTAATTGAGCCACCTTACACCCCAAAATAGCTGCCAACACCGGAAAACGAACCACTTCCCTTACAAGAATTAATTCTGACTTGGCCAAATTAACCCGGAGCCCAAACACCACCTCAAAGCATAGCAACACACATCGTAAATGCCCAATCTGATCCGCATCCGCATCACAAAAGATGAGCGCATCATCAGCATAAAAGAGAAGAGAAACCACCAGTGGACCAGGCCCCTGCCCCACTTCAAAACCAGATAACAAATCCCCCCTGGACCGCTCTGGACAATAAATGACTCAAAGCCTCCATCACCAAAATAAACAATAAAGGAGACAGTGGATCCCCGTGCCGTAATCCTCTCTATGTAGGAAAAAAGCCCACCAAAGTGCCATTAACCAAGACTGATAACCGCACCGTAGAAATACAAAACTGAATCCACTGCCTGTATCGCTTCCCAAAACCCATCCATCGAAGCACATATAACAGAAATTTCCAATTCACATTATCATTAGCTTTCTCAATATCCAGCTTGCACATAATCTCCGCCTTCCCTTACCAAACCCGCTAGTCCACGCCACGTGCACAACATCCAAAATTTAACGGCCCCCCACAAACGCATTCTGAGACTCAGACACCAGCCCCTCCAGGACACACCGAAGTCTATTGGCCAGAACTTTAGCCAATAATTTGTAAACACTGCCTAAAGGACTGATTGGCTGAAACTCTCTAATATCCTTGGCCCCACCTTTCTTGGGAATCAAAGCAATAAAAGTGGCATTAAGACTCTTCTCAAACTGTCCCTCTTGATAAAGCTGATCAAATACAGCCATCACTTCCACCTTCACCACCCCCCAGCATTGTTGGAAGAAGGCCATGGAAAAGCCATCCGGCCTAGGGGCTTTATCCCCGGGCATACTCCTCAATGCACCTGTAGCTCGACTTTTCCACACCCCCTTTCGGAAGTTCGAAATAAGCCCTACAGTTCGGACTCCCGCGGTTTTGAATCTAATCTCATGAATGCAATATGAAATTGATAAACACCAAAGAGTCTAAATCCGACAAATCTTTTGAAAAATTGATTTTGAATCACATTGCCAAAAATAGGCTGCTTTGCCAGATACAGAGTCGCTACCTAAATATTTTTTGTTTTGGAAAAATTTAGGAACCCATGACTCGTGCCAAAGGCCACGTGTCCGTCATCACCAAGATTGTCTCAGCTCGGGAACTTGGGTACAAGAGGGGAAGGTCATGAATACATTTGAGCACCCTCGCTCGTCCGATCAAAGATCGGCCTCTACCAATCATGATATGATTTTTACCAACATTATATGCTCTTGTTCCGATTTATTAGGCTAGCATTACTATGTGATGCGCACACACACAAGTATAGACTAACTTGCAAGAATTGGAACATCTCGAGTTCATGTTTGTTTCGAAAATTATTTCGAATATGTACCACTTGAAAAAGTGATCGCATATGAACATTACTCAAATTATTCCAATTCAAGCAACAAGCCTTCATGCATAGACATTCAAGCAGTTATAGCACTTAAGCAATTAGCCTCATGGCAAGCATGCTAAACATGGCAACAATTGCACACATGTAATATGCTAAAGCGAGTAAAGGCTCACCTAGTACTCCAAGCCAAAAAGAGATGAGTTAGAAAAATGCATGATTCCTAACTATGCGATATGACTAATGCAACACATGTGATATGGAATCTAAATAGGCTCGGCTACTAATATGGCATATGAATAAATTAAATAACATGCGGTCTAAGCACGAATTCAAAGAAGTATTTAACTAACATGCAGTTAGAATGATGAACCGAGCCTCGGTGTATGCAAGACGAATGGATG